AAAAAGCTCGCCCTACTGCTTTCCCAAAGGACATTGGAGACGCAAACAAACGATCAGCTGATAAAAGAGTACGCGAAAAGTGGACGGTCGGTTTGTGCGCGCAACTCAAATCTAAGAATGGAAACGAACGACGCAGTTACTGTAAGTACAGCACTTGTGTCGCCTCGCCTCTCACGCCGCTCTCTCATACCGGACTGTACAACAAGAACAACAACAACAACAAGCAACAACAGCGGGGTAAACGCACGCCATCCGCTGGGCACACCGCGGCATCCATCCACCGCCAGTGCGGGGCGGGGCGGGCATCCGATATGTACCGGGAAAAGCGATGTGAGACGAGGAGAGAGAGAGAAATATGTAACGGCGGCGGCAGCGGCGTAGCAGAGGAAAAGAATAAGAGAAAAACGCGAAGCGTTCCGCTGCACCATATGACTGCGGCACGCGAGCACGGCATGCAGTGGGAGGGAGACGGAACATTTAGCTTGCATTCCCAAGCCCCCACGCTCAATGGGACTTGTCTCGCCGTTTCCAGTAAGACCGGGCGGGGCGGGGCGACCACGCATGTGCAGCCGCGGCTCTCGATACCTCGCGCATACCCAGCGAGCGCCGCGAGCAGCAGCGCGAGCATGCAACCGCCGCACTACGTCCAGTTCCAAAGCGCTACACATCGCGTGGAATACGAACTAAGAGTGACCCGCCCTTAATTGTGTATGGCATGCTAACATTTTTTAAACGAGCCATACCGACCGACCCGCAAAAGCGCGAGGCGGTAAACAAAGGTGGTGAAAAAAAAATGGTCGATTATTTGGTTTTGCTTATGGAAAAAAAGAAAAGAAAGGATCTCTAGAAAAGCCTTTTGTTAAGGGCAATGCCAGGCTTTTAGCTACACCACGGAGCGCTCGCGGTCATCACTGGCTGACTCAGCGCGGGACCAGGTCCACTCCCACCGGCTCTTGTTATTTAAAAGCCTAAAGTTTACATTTTTGTAAAATGTCTGAATTGTTTTCAAAACTTTGCTATTGCACAGGTTACATACTCTCTTTTGCAATTTCAGCATTAATTCATGGTTTCGCTGGCCTTCGGTCTCTTTAAAACAAGAGAAAGAATAAATGTCCGAGCCTTACCAATAAAGTTAACGAACTAGTTTAATCGTAAATATGATTACGACACAGAAAAACTTTGCAAATAATGATCGCCGGCCAGTTTATAAAATGTCAATAACGGGCTGCACCGCTGCGCGAGTGGGCGGGGCGGGGCGAGCGCGCAGCCGCCCACATCCCCAGACGGATGGCGGCGCGCGAGCAGAGCGCGGCGCGGGACTCGCGAGTGCACCGCCGCGTCACGCCTTTTGCAACGGACAGCGACAAACAGTCGCGACCACCAACCAACCAAACGGGCGGCGTTCGAAAGAATAAAAGAAAGAATAAACGAGACATCTTTTTGGAAAGACAAATTAACTTTACTGTTTTGCGCGACGTGCAGCAGCGCAGTGTTATGGCGGGGCGGGCGGGTGATCCGCAACGTGCGCTAATAAGCCGGCGCGCTGTCACCGCAGAGACGGATGTTGGGCGGGGCGGGGTGC